CGTACGGTACGGTACGTACGTACCGTACCGTACGTACGTACCTACCCTCCGTACGTACGTACGTCGTTCGTTCGTCGTCGGTCCGGTCGTACCCTACCCCTACCCTACCTACACGTCTCTACTAGTACGTCGTACTCTTACTTTTTGTTGTGTGTGTGTGTGTGTGTGTGTGTGTGTGTGTGTGTGTGTGTGTGTGTGTGTGTGTGTGTGTGCAATTTCTAGGACGTCAACCCCTTCGCAAGTCAAAGACTTGTATAATCGCGATGCTATTATCTGAGGTCGATTCCCTATTCCTAGTCATAGAGATTTTCGCAGGCGACTAGTGGTGGCTGAACAGTGAACAGACAAAGTGACGCACAGAGTGCGGTTAGAAGTACAAGGTATACATGCGATCAATAGTAGTTTAATTAGTTTAGTCCTTAAGGGCAATCGCATTCATATTATTGGTAGTTGATATTTCTATGTATATCACGGTCGACCCACATAAATGTACCGGTGTTCTACATTCTTCTATTTCTAATTAAATGTGGTCATACTTATGACTGCGTGTCTACATCATAAACACTTTTGACCTCATCAGTCATCACCGGACGCGCGCGCGCACACACACACATAAACACACACACACACACACACACACACACACACATTTTTTTTAATCTCACCATAATCTCAAGCCAATTACAATAATTGCGATACAGTCAGCGCGGGTTTTGAATTCTTTACTCGCAATAACGAGATCTCGTCTAGTAATTGTCGACAGGAGACGAGTTTCAGGGCGTGATGCAACAGGTGTCGCTATTAAGCGTAAAAATAGATTCTAACCAAAAATAACACAATTGGTAAATTTACCAATTACAGCAACTTTCACTTGGAGCGCAGATCAACGAACGCAGCGAGCAGGAACTGCGTAACAACGAATTAAGCACGTGACAGTCGTCGCCCGCACACGCTTGAAAACCCGCCTATAACTAAAGTGTACGTAGTTTCCACTAAATCTCGAGCGATTACCGTGCTGTTAAACCCCTTACGTGTGCTCACCTACCAAACGCTAACCCTAACCAGAGTTTACGTGTACTATGCGTGACCTTATTGCGCGGAAACCGAACGGACTTGAATGTTTTGTCCCTATAAATTACATCAAGTACATGTTTTTCCGGCACAATATAAAGATGGCGACGGTCGTCACACAGGCGCAGGCGCAGACGCACCTTTGTCATGCGGTGCCATTGCAAAAAGCGACTCACCAGTTCTTTCAAATTACCTATATTATTATATATATTATTTTCGAAAAGAGGCTGTTAGAGGACGCGACCTTTCAAGGATTTCTGGGGCGTCGACGTTGTTTGTTTCGTTATTGTTACCGTCGTTGTCGATAGCACACACACACCTATATATGATTTATACGAAGACGAGGAATTTATGTGCGCCGTAAACGCCAAGAAGCAGTATCCCGGCCACGTGCAATTACGTCAGCTAAACCACCGACCAATAACCGCATATCGAGCACTAGTAAACATGCTTGCCTAGAGCACAGTAATAATGCTCGCTTGCGTGGTTGGCAACTTCCACGACGAACAGACGAGCATGGCAGTAAACGCGCATGTCTGTTAAACTCGCGCGGATATAAACGGCGTGGATATATATTTCTGTGGGGGTTAATCTATGGGGCACGTTCATCAATTACTAATTGCATTAACCCAGCGAAGACGGCGAGAGGAGCCGGCGGCAGTGTCTTCACCTACACCGCATGCCTGCAGGTTCCTGACCCGCTATGTGGGGCGGGACCCGACCAGCCGACCGACGATTTCTCGCTCCATTCAGGCGAGAAGCGCGCGCACATTACTGACCGAGTAAGCGTTGAAAATGAAAGGTCTGCGCTCGTGGGCGTCAAGTGCCGCCGCCGACGACGACGGCTAGTCATGCTCGCTACGCGCATGCGCGTGGTTGGGTAGGATGTACACATGAGCGCGCCTCGGCTCATCCGTCGGCTGCAAATGCCTTTCTTTCACGCGCGCACCAACGAGCTCGCATGGTGACTGCACTCGCGATTATTCGGGAAACCACCCGCCCCCTCCCCGAACATCATGCGAACGCGTGACAAACGCCAGTGCGCTTGCGGTGGCGAGCGCGACCACGAACTACAGTGACATTGCCAGTGCCTTTTATGCGAGACAACGCGAGGTCGGTCGCATTTCGCGACGAAACCATATTCCGCGCTCGAAAAAAAACAACTAAACAAACAAACAAACGAGCGTGCGACCATAGTTTTGTCACATGGCTCGGCGCGACCCCCCACTCTCGTTACGTCACATGACTCGTCGCAACCTTGTTCCCGCATGCGCGCTGACAAAAATTGATCGGCGCGTCTGACGCGACACTTATCATCTGCGGATATTTCAGATTATTTCCTCATTTTCGGCACGGGAAAAAAATTATCCCTTCCGCCAAGCGCCGACCCAAACGCTACGTGTACAGCGCGCGGCATTCGGTCGGACAGACGACAACGGTGCTGCGTGTCCTTCGCTTGTCGTTCCAGCCGCTGGGCACCTTCACGCGGGAGAGGCTCCGGAGAGAAATAGGCTGGTACGCGATCACTGTGATGTGACAAGAATCCACAAGGATGTTGGCACCGCCCCGACACGCATGCAGTTGTGCGCGCTCGCGTGAGCGTGTAAGCATGTGACACATAGCAGGCGAATGCGAGCCGAGAAAATACAGCAGCGTTATTCATTTAGTCACAATGTAAGAGGACTTTATCGTCATGCGTAAACCCAAATGTGATTATTCAGTTATTTATTATGCGTATATTTGCGTATTATTCCCCATAAGCAGTGCGTGTAATCTGACTAGGCGATACCTAACTACATACCACGACGAGTAAGCTCTTTCATTCACGTATGTCAATAATGCAAACAGTGCGTTCGCCGCGTCCATGTACCATAAACAATATATATTATATAATAAGCCAGATATAAATTTTCACTCAATTAATCGCCCGATGTCTAGAGAAAAGGATATTAGTTGGTTCTACGACGGATCTGCAGTTGTTGCTGATTTGGAGGGTAACTGCCTTGCGATAATTAGCAGAAGACTCGATGCGGCCAGACTATGCCCAGTCCGTCGTCCTTACTTATAAAATTACATTAGTTATTCTGTCGTTAGTTAAAGGTAAGTAAGCCAGCGACCATATTAAAGCCCCATGATAATCTACGAATGCATTAAGGTGACGGCTTGCGGCGTGCATGTGAATATTCATACGTACTGTATACAATGAGTCCTCGTCGAACCATTCTTCGTCCTTTGCATTGTACGGCTTCCTTCCCTTCTTCTCTAATCCCATCTTAGCTCTGAAGAAAACAAAAGCAGAACCGGTAACTTTAGGACGCATCTCAGGACTGCCAGAATGCGATCTTAGGGCGATGAACGTAGAATGTGTCTTGTAAGTAGGTATAAAATAACGTTGTAATGTTCTTCGTCCTAAATACCAAGCCGCTTATTTGTTGCGTGCCTAATCATGAACATCATTATCATCATCATCATCATCATCATCATCATCATCATCACCACCACCATCATCATCATCATCATCATCATCATCCCCACCATCAGCTATAAACGTGTTAAGTGTTACGCGTGTAACCGCATGCAGCTAGCACAAATTGCCCGTTGTCCGCTGTTTTTATTGATGGATATCAATATATACAGAAACACATCAGTGTCATCTTTACGACGCGATCAACCCAGATTAGCAGGTCAGAACATTTGGCTGTACGTCGTTTATCTTCGCGGAATAACAGGCGCCGCCTCGGCGAGTCGCGGCGCTGCGATCGCCGACTGTCAGCTTAATGACCAATCACGTTCAGCGATATCGTAAATGCCGCGGTGTCGTTGCCAATCACCGGCGGCCTATGGCCGACTCGGCTTCGTCTGAAGAGTATTTCCTAATCATGTTCGCAATGGGCATGATTGCCGTGCATGCGCCAGCGTATACGTGTATTATGATAAGGAATAGGATATTATGCAGAGTAAGAAATTAAGCGCAAAATATATCGTTCCCACATTAAGTATGGACGTTTGGTCGACAGTATGACAAAGAATCTTCTCCTACTGTCTCATAATGAGTAGACCCACTACCTAAACCAATTACCAGCTGCAGTTCGTCAGAGAGGTTTACACTAAACTACATTAAGAATACAAAAAATATAAGAATTACAAGAAATAATAGAATGCATTCTCGAGCATATTTGCTAATTAAATGGACAGCAGGGAATAGAAGCGGATTTTTATTACGATGTACGCTATGCATGGCACGTCAGTTCGATTTATCGCGCAGAATAGTTTGAATTTCGTAGACTACGCTTCGTGAATTTGAATGCATACAGTTCATTTATAGACGAAGGTCGTCATATTTAGGCGTACGGAGTTCACTTATTAGTTCTAGTCCCCGATACTTCGTGATGAAGAATCGCCGTTAACCGAAACGTTATATATATATATACATATATGCGTGCGTGCGTGTGTGTGTTTGGGTGTGTTTGCGTGTGTGTACGCGCGCGCGTGTGTGTGTGTATCATACATGGGATCATTCGATAACTTCACCATACACGTATACCTACCGAGGATGCAGGCAGAAATTTCCCTCGCCATTCGCGAGAAGATTACATAGCGAAATAACGCGGAGTATTGTATTTTCGCAAGGTCACCTGACTATCTGCTTATCTGATCAGAAGCCGAACAAAACCTCTCGAATCGAAGCGATAATAAAAATAGGTACGCCATATATATGATTCGCTAGCGCACATATGTGTGAAGGGCAAACTGGCCACTCAACGTCGATTTGACATATACGAATTGTAAACACTAATGTTAGTTTATAAAGTATCCAATGCAAATTCTGTCATAGCCTATGTACTTTCTCATTACATTTGTCATAGTGTCATGTGTATGTGTGTGTGTGTGGGGGGGGGGGGCGTGTGCGCGCTCGCGCGCGCGTGTGTGTGTGTGTGTGTCGTGTGCGCGTGTGTGTGTGTGTGTGTATGTGTGCGCGCGTGCGTGCGTGCGGGCTTGCGAGCGTGTCTGCGTTCGTGCGTGCGTGCGAGCATGTGTGCGTGCGTGCATGCTTGCGAGAGTGTGTGAGTTTACGAATGTCTTTACAAATACTCGGCAAAATGTATGACGTTGAAGCGTTCGGCAAGCACCTGTTCTAGCTGGTCGTCCCATCCACACGTCTGCACCTGATGATGTCTGGAGAGATCGCCCGTCACCACATCACGACTGGTATATAGCCAACAGTCACGGAGCTGCATTCACCTCACGCGCCGAAAGTTACCGTGGATTGACACAATGCGCTATTCTTATAGCGAGCGACATCAACCAACGCTAGCCACATAACACACGCACACAGCACACACAGTAGTCTCTCGGTTATTACGCCCACACACCGCATCTGACGTGAGCGGAATAACATCTCCGACCGAGACGGAATCCCCCCCCCACGCCACTCTCGTCCCACGAATACCGACTGACCTATTACGGCTGCTTGTGTGCACGTCGTTGATCGTCTTTCCCATTACGCGCCACTCACCGGATAAAGATCACCTGCGCCAAAGAGTCGCGCGAGAGAGGCGGCTTGCCCCAGATGTAGTGAGAGCGAGCGCACTCAATCCGTGCGGTAATGCACACACAGGCGGCGAATTGTGCCGGCGTACGAACGTACTAACGAGAGTTCTATGACTTGACATACTCAGGTACACACGTTTTTCATTTATATCTCATTGTTCATATGCTAATAAGTGACACATATACACGTATAATATATTTCTAATATATATATATATATATATATATATATATATTTAAAATTCACTTAGATATATAGATGGATGGATATAGACCAATGGAAGGATGGATAGATGGATGGATGGATTGATAGATAGATGGATGGATTGATAGATGGATGGATGAATAGAAGGAATGATGGATGGATGGATGGATGGATGGATGGATGGATGGATGGA